TAGCTAAACAAATTAAGACTGGCCACCAGAAATGTCAGAAAACATCCCCTTAAAATTTCAGCTTTCCAGCTTCCCTGGCACCTGAGTTAGCAACTTACTGGAACAAAATTTTCACGGCCCGTGCGTATTTACCAAACATACCCAAGAGCTGGGTTCAAGCTGAATGAAACTTAGGTGTACGGGGTATATCCTCTTAAAATTACAGTCTTTTAGCTCCTTAGGTACTTGAGTTATCAACTTACCCGAAAAAAATTTTAGCGGACTCGTACGCGGGTACCACGCTTACTCGGGGGCTGGGTTTAAGCCCACTGATACCCACTTGGACGGGGAACATTCCCCTAAGATTTCAGCCTTCTAGCTTCTCAGATCCCCGAATTATGAATTTACCCGAGAAAAGTTTTGGCGGGCTCGTACGCGGGCACCACGCTTATCCAGGGGCTGGGTTTGCGCCCACTGATACCCACTTGGACGGGGAACATTCTCCTAAGATTTCAGCTTTCTAGCTTCTCAGATTCCCGAGTTATGAACTTACCCGAAAAAAACTTTGGCGGGCCCGTACGCGGGTATCACGCGGGTAATGGCGTCAATTTTGGGGACTGGGGCCCGTACGTGCATGTAGATTAAGTTCCCACGGTTTCAACCCTGTAGCTTTTGTAGGTCCTGAGATGAAAAACCGTGACACACACAAACACACAGACAACCTCTCGTCAATATGCGTTTTCTGCATTGCATAGCTGCAAAAAAACGCACAAAAAAGTGAAGCGCTGGTGATGCATAATACATACCACTAATGGCAATTCGAAATGGCTAAAGCTTTAATAAAGCTGTTCAAGAGACACCGAACGGATCCAGACGGATGGAAGGGGATGGGTAATCATCTCAGAAACCCCGGCAATCACCTCAAAATTTCACGCATCTCTAAATCTGGTAACGAAGCGACCAAAAAAAAAAATCATGAAGTGATAAAAAATCACAGGCGCAGAAATGCTAGAAGAAAAAATTAACCTGTTCCGTTGTGAAAGCATTTCCAGACTGCAATAATAAGTGAACAAAGCAGGTGATAAGCGCAACATACAGTATTATTATAAATCAATGCTTTTGCCAAAAATTCACTCTTTTTCGCTTTTAGAAACGTCAAATTTGACTGGGTAAAAGGAAAAATAAAAAATTTAAAAACTAAAAAATTTATGCAAAAATTTTGAAAAAGTGCTCTGCTTAGCCAAAACTGTGTCAAAAACCGGACTCCAAAACGCAAACTTCCCCCCTCTAGAATGTTACTCGAGCAGTAAAATACAAAGAAACAAAAATTAAAGAATTTTTTAAAACAAAAATTGCAAAAAAATCACTCCCTAAATTTTAAGATTTTTGTAGAATAAACCTAAAAAAAGTGGAAAAAGATGCAAAAAAAGTGCTTTTCTCATCTAAGTGCATCATTTTTTTAATGACAGAGTCAAATCTGAGGTAAAAACAATCCCAATTTTTCATTACAAAAAAAATCCCACAACATGAGGCTTGCTTAAAAAAAATGCTTTTTTGGCGAGATGATCAGCAAAAAATAAAATTTTCAGAATCAGTCCGATAATGCTGCGAATAAGCCCAGTGTAAGCTTACATTTCCCTGTGCTTCCACGGATTTTGCCTTTCTTAGCCGACTTTTTGCCGCATCCAAATCCAAACGTTTCGTATTCAGAACTTTCCTCTCGCGCTATAAAATAGCAAAATTTTACATCAATTATTTTGGGAAAAACAGTGAAGTCATAATTTATCGCACATACGCCTGCCAAAAGTTAATAGCTACTACTGATTGAATATAATAGCCGACAACCATGTCCCCGTTGGATTTGAGGAAATAAGACTATTCAAAGAAGATGCCCCAGTTATGTTAATAAATATTAATACTAAAAAAATTCGAAATTTGAGCCTCCCATATTTTGCAGCCCATAATTTATCGCCCACACACACACACATCAGCACACATACACGCACACACATACACACACACGAACACACAAACACACACACACCCACCCATCCACACACACGCACGCACACACACACCCGCACACACACCCACCCACACACCCACCCACCCACACACACCCACCCACACACACATCCAAACACACCCACACCCACCCACACACACCCACACACACACCCACCTACACACACCCACACACACACCCACCTACACACACACACACCCACCCACACACACTCACAAAAAGTTGATGCCCTGTAAGACAGTAGGGCATGTTACCCAGCTTGCCCAAAAGTAGTAGACGACGCGAATTAGTAACTGGTGTCCAGGAGAAAGTAAACCACCACTCGAACGAAACTCGAAGTGCAGAAAAAAGCATGGAAAACATGCGATGGGTATTAACTGGAGCATGCAGTCCAAGACTGAACCTGGCATGGTGCGGTCGGCGTCTGAGAGCATCATCCCAGTAGCATTACTAATAGGAGCTGCCCATAATTATGGCTCGAACGGTCCTGGTAATTTTGGTATAAGCGCTTCTTTCTCCACAATATTCGTAGTAACCCAATGAAAATGTTGCACTGGGGTCTTGCAGAGGTCCTATCCGCTGTCTCCTCGGATCGGATCGTTGGCTGGGTCGTCGATTCCTTGGTGATGATTCGGGTTAGGAAGGTCCTTGTCCTTCGTTGGTCGTTAGGGCCGTTAGCACAACACAACACTAATTTAACACAGAAACAACGCCCTTATATAGGCAGTTTCGCACCATTATACATGTCCTATCTAGGAGGGAGTCATGATGCAACAATAATTTTAAATAGACGGGCCTGAATTGAAATGGTAATAGCATACCTGAATTGTTTTCATGTCACCTTCCAGGAAGCGTCGTATCGGTAGGAGGGTACTGCTTGCGCAACCGTTGATAAAATCCCTTTCTCCGGCGCCTATTTTAAATTCCGCTTGTGCCGTTTTCAACAAAGCACTTCCTGAAATTGCTTGTTTTACGCGTCCCACGAGGAATGTTCGTTTACTTCTCCAAAGAACGCAAAATCTGGCCAACTGATCTATCAAAAAAACTGTTTCGCTTACCTACGTAATTTGGGCATAATTTTCTTGCGTTTTATAATTTTTAATTAGCTTTTACACAATTTAATAACAGTCACCGACAGCACGGAACAATGGCAGCCACCTTTGCTATCGTGTTGGATTTCCGGTTTCGCCAGTGGGGCAAACAAGCCTGTTACGCTTTCGATGGTACCAAGGAGTGAAAGCCAGTAATAGCTGTTTTTGCACAAATTTAGCAAAGACTTTGACAATTTTCTCAAAAAAGTGGTTGCTGTTGACATGTGTTACCATCAACCTACTTCTAATTGCCTTCGCATTACATACAGAGCAGATAAAGAGGGAGTTTTGACTTTGAATTTACTGGTTATGTAACAGGAAAAAACCATTGTGTTCTAGCTGAAAGAACCGAAACTGGCCACCAGGACTGTCAGAAAATATTCCCTTAAAATTTCAGCTTTCTAGCTTTTCTGGTTCCCGAGTTAGTAAGTTAACAGCCAAATTTTCACGAGTAGAACTACGCAGGCTTGGAGGATGACTTTGAACTCGTTTGATTGTACTTGGACAAGGAACATCCCCTTAAAGC